TCTCCTCTAAGAGAAGTCTCCATCCGATTTACGTGCATCTCCGCACCAATCGGCTTTCCCCCATCTCTTAGTTTAAAAACTGCTCTACGGCCTTTTTAATGTTTAGTGCCAGCAGTCTGGTTCCACCCTGGTTTAGGTGGAGCCCATCCTTCCTGTATAGGCTCCCCCTCTCCCAAAGTGTCCCCAGTCCCCAATAAATCTAAACCCCTCCTCCCTACACCATCGTCTCATCTGCGCATTGAGGCTCTGAAGCTCTGCCTGCCTACCTGGCCCTGTGCGTGGAACTGGAAATGTTTTCGAGAATGCCACCAGAGAGGTCCTGGATTTCAGTCTCTTTCCTAGCAGCCTAAATTTGGCCTCCAGGACATCTCTCCTACCCTTCCCTACATCATTGGTACCTACATGTACCATGACCACTGGCTCCTCCCCAGCACTACACATAAGTCTGTCTAGATGCCTCGAGAGAACCGCAACCTTCGCACCAGGCAGGCAAGTGACCATACGGTTCTCCCGGTCATCACAAACCCAACTATGTTTTTAACGATCGAATCACCCACTACTAACACCTGCCTCTTCCTAACTGGCATTCCCTCCCCCTCAGAGGTATCCTCAGTGCGAGAGGATACCGCAACATCCTCTGGGAGGAGGGTCCCAACTACGGGATGGTTTCCCTCTGCTCCCATTGAATGCTCTGTTCCCTTGAGACTTTCATCCTCCTTAAGAGCACTGGGGCTCTCAGACTGGAGGTGGGACAGTACTACAGTGTCCCGGAAAGTCTCATCAACACAGCTCTCTACCTCCCTTAGCTCCTCCAGTTCAGCCACCCTAGTCTCCAAAGCCCGAACTCAGTCTCTGAGGGTCAGGAGCTCCTTGCAACGGGTGCACACATACGCCACCCACCCACAGGGCAGGTAATCATACATGTTACACTCGACACAATAAACAGGAAACAGCCCCCACTCTGCTGGGCTTCTGTCTCCATTTTTCTTATGAATACGTTTAATTATAAACTGGGCTTCTTATTAAATGTCTGGAAAATAGATGATTATAAAAGTGCTGTTTAAAAAAGGTCAGAAGAAACTAGTGCCCTCTAAAACTCCCTCTCAAAACTCCCTGGTCGCTGCTCCTGGTCGCAAGCAAGGAGGAGGAAATCTTGCACAAGCCCCTCCCTGTTTATGCACACATACTTGTGCCCCGGAATAGTGGCCAGGCCTGGTGCCACTGGTGGGCAAGGCAGAACTGGCTTGGAGCAGAGGCCTGCTGAGTCAAGGCCCCATCACAGGGCACTAAACAGGCACCAGTGATGTGAAGAGCTCACCTGGGCCTATGCTGATTAGAAGCCTCTCTCCCAGGGCATGGCTCTCCCCCTCTCCAAGAGCCACTGAGGCTTAATAATGACCCACCCTTGCCCCTCCCAAGATACAGATCCGCCCTGCAGCCCAAGGGCACCAAGTGAGGCCAGAGAAGGGATGGGATTTCCTGGGAGCCCACAACGAATCTGGCAGAGCCAGGCGGGAACCCAGGGGACCCGACTCCTTTCCCATTCCTGAGCCCCAGAACCATCCTTCTTCCCTGGGCAGTCCCCCTAAGCTGCTGCCACCTTTTGTGCAGGTACCTGGAGAAATACCTGGAGCAGTTTCTGGAGACGGCCGAGGAGCACTTCATGGTGGGCTGGCGGGTGATCTACTACGTCTTCACAGACAGGCCAGGGGCAGTGCCCCGGCTCGGCCTGGCCCCGGGGCGGCAGCTGCAGACCCGGATGGTGGAGAACCAGAAGCGCTGGCAGGACATCTCCATGATGAGGATGCACTGGCTCAGCCAGGCCCTGGACACCGCCATCTGCAGGGAGGTCCAATATGTCTTCTGCATGGACGTTGACCAGTTCTTCGTCGGCGCCTTCGGGCTGGAAGCGCTGGCAGAGTCTGTCACTCTGCTCCATTCCTATTTCTACCGGTGGACCCGCTCCTACGTCCCCTACGACCGGAACCCCCGATCGGCCGCCTTCCTCGGCCCCGGCGAGGGGGACTTCTACTACCACGCGGCCGTGTTTGGGGGGCTGTGCCCCCGGGTGAAGAACCTGACGGAAAGCTGCTTCCAGGCGGTTCTGCAGGACAAGAGGCAGGGCGTGGAGGCCCGCTGGCAGGAGGAGAGCCACCTCAATAAGTACTTCTGGCAGCACAAGCCAGCCAAGATCTTGTCTCCGGAGTACTGCTGGGACCAGGCCATCCGGCGGCGGGGGGACATCCGCGTCGCCAGGCTGGTGTGGGCTGAAAAGCAGTACCGCAGGCTGCGCCAGGCAGCTCGGTGACACCACCCACGCGGACCCTCAGCAGGCACTGGCTGGAACTGGGCACGGGGACGCAGGGAACAGTGTAGCAACTAGCGTGTCGCTCCTTTCAGAGCATTCGCCTGCTGAGCGCACTGCCCACACACGGGGCTCCTGCCCCTTCATGCCCTCCACAAGTCTCCTAGAATCCTACAGCTGGAAGAGACCTCAGGAGTCATCAAGTCCAGCCCCCTGCCCAAGGCAGGACCAACGCAACTCAATCAACACAGCCAGGGCTTTGTCAAGCTGAGACTTAAACACCTCTAGGGATGGAGATTCCACCCCTCCCTAGGGAACCCAGCCCAGGGCTTCCCACCTGCCTAGGGAAATAGTTTTTCCTAATATCCAGCCTAGACCTCTCCCACTGTAACTTGAGGCCATTGCTCCTTGTTCTGCCACCATTGAGAACAGCCTCTTTGGAACCCCCCTTCAGGAAGTTGCAGGCTGCTCTCAAATCCCCCCTCACTCTTCTCTTCTGCAGACTAAACAAACCCAAATCCCTCAGCCTCTCCTCATAGGACATGCGCTCCAGCCCCCTCATCATTTTGGTCGCCCCCCTCTGGGCCCTCTCCAATGCAGCCACATCCTTTCTGTAGTGAGGGGGAGGGGGCTCAGAACTGGAAGCAATACACCAGAGCCGAATAAAGGGGAATAATCACTTCTCTAGATCTGCTGACAATGTTTCTCCTAATGCACCCTAATATGCCATTAGCCTTCTTGGCTACCAGGACACACTGTTGACTCATATCCAGCTTCTCATCCACTGGAATCCCCAGGTCCTTTTCTGCCAAATTGCTGCTTAGCCAGTCAGTCCCCAGCCTGTAACAGTACTTGGGATTCTTCCGTCCCAAGGGCAGGACTCTGCACTTGCCCTTGTTGAATCTCATCAGATTTCTTTTGGCCCAATCCTATTATCTGTCCAGGTCACTCTGGACCCGGTCCCTGCCCTCCAGCGTATCTACCTCTCCCCCTAGCTTAGGGTCATCTGCGAACTTGCTGAGGGTGCAATCCATCCCCTCATCCAGTGTCTTCTGCTGCCCTTCTGGGCCAGAGCCCCCCTACTCTCTCCCCACCAGGCCAGATGTGCTACATGTTCCCTCTTCCCCATGCTGGGGGCTCGGTGTGCTGCCCCCTTTGGCCCCATCTCCTCCCTACAACTGGCTGCTTCTTCCCCTCTGTGTGGGAGATGCGACACAGCAGGGAGGGGGAACAGAAGCTGGAACAGGACATGTTGTTCTGGTCCCTGGGTGGGCGGGCCTCAAACCCACAACCCTGGGGTCCCCAGGCCAATGACCTAACCCCAAGGCCACTCAAGACCCCACCCTACCTTCCTGGCATCTCATACCCCGCCTCTCCGTGGGTATGGCGGAGGGGGGGGGGAGACTTGAATCCACCACCCTGCCCTCCCCAGTGTCAAAGGCCTTTGGACCTGTTACAGGGGTGGCTGAAGCTGCTGGCTCCGCCAGCCGGATGCCAGGACCTCCATGTCCACCGAAATCACTAGGGGTCTGCTACACCTAGCCCGTTTGGAATGGACCGTCGTGGGACGCACAGACAGAGCTAGGCCCGCAAGCGGAGTGTGGGGCTGCGCCTCTCGGCCAGGCTCTGTAATGGCTCTCCTGTGGCGCCGTGCTGGGCACGCGGTGAAACGCTGGGCGACCGAAGCCTTCGCTCTCGGAGCTGCTGTCCAGCCAGGCCGCTGTGCCTGCGCTAGTAACCAGTGGCAGCCGTGAAAAACGACCCTCCGGCCAGTGACGGGTGGGGGAGGGGGGTTCTGGCGCAAGGGTTTCCCGCCAGACCGTGTCCATCGACACGCCAGTGCTCCAGGGCATGAGCCAGACGGAGCCGGGGGAGGGGTCATTGGGCTCCGGGGTCTCCCTGGTGCGGGGCCGCGTGCTGCTTGGCTGGATGGCAGGGGCCCCCTCCAGCCTG